TTGGAGGGTTCGTATCGTCGCAGCGATCCTCTCGTCACGCCTCCCGTTTCTTCTTTAAAGGGTTGCGTGCCTGTGCCACCGTTGACATCGAGCAGCCGACAGCACCCGAGCAGAATGCTTACCATTCGATTCCCTGCTCCCCTGCTTCTTCTTCCTCGTTTCGATGTTCACTTATCGTTAGAGTTGCTCGAGAGCCCGTTTCGATTTCTATCAAGCGTTCGTGGAAAAATACCGCGAATGGAACAGGGAATGGAATGCCTCCTTTTGTTAATATATCGTTAAATTTCTCGGAATCGATGTGAATCGTATTGTTGCATTGATGGGAATGCGAAAATTAGTTGTACTTATTTGGAAAAATAAACTTTGTTTTGCAATGTGTTTGTATGTATATGTATATATATGTGAAACACAACGAAAAAAGGATTGAAAGTTTTGTAAAAATATATTATAATAGGCTTCGCCGTATTATCTATGCCGTTTTATCGAACGACAGGGAGAACTTAAATATATTAGAGCGCGTGATAAATGGCACTAAAGTATTCTCTCTATTTATATTCCACGTTTACTCGCTCGACATGCGGGTAATCTACAATTGCGGGTCCAAATTGTCAGACACGTGTTACGCATCTAAATCGTGCCTTCTCCTTATTGTCTCCTTATTTCGAACGAGCGGTACACGTAGAAAAAGGAAGAAGGGAAGGAAGTTAGCGATGAACCATCATTCTTCGATAATTCCAAACCTTATTTATTATTCTTATTTATTATTTATTATTCTTATTTATTTAACCGATTATTTGACTCGGTTCATCCTGTTTACGTATTACGATCGAATGGAAAAATTCCCGCATAATAATCTCGGCATCGTAATGAAAATAGAATAAAATTTACACGTTAATGATGGATAAACGATTCATACTTATCCATAGTTTATATGATATAAATTGACATAAAATTTATTACCAATAACATCATCGTACCCAATTTCGCTCGGATCAACATCGATTCGATGTGATCTGATCGAAATCATTATCATCCTCCCCTCGTGGAAAAATCATCTCGGGGAGGATGGTGCCGAAGGAAAGCACCGTCTTCCAACTTTTCGCTCGCTCGGTGTTCAAATTTCCGCCAACATGGGAAGGGAAATCAGATTCAGAGCCGCGAGAACACCGTCTGTTCGATCGTTCGTGCGTTACGAGGCGAGGCACTCGCTCCTTTCCACCGGATTCTCATTTCGTTGTTCAAACAAGAATCCAAGGGATGCCGCTACTCGGCTCTCGATTTAATCGTGTCGAGCGTCGGATCGTCGACGCCGTGAGGGGAACACGCTGCCGATCTCGTATCGCGACGAGGGAGAAACCGTCGATGAAACACGTTCAAACACGTTTTCCTTCGCGAAAAGACGGTGGTTGACGGGATCTCTGGATTTAATGAAACTTTCATTCGATGAAACACGCGAAGAAATATTATTATGTTTAATCGCCGTGACTTATCTTCCTGTTGGCTTTAAATAGATCTAGCGATCCGCTCTTCTTGGAAAAAAAAAAATAAGAAAACAAGATTGTATCGATGATTTCTTTTTCCGAATACGAACTTTCGCGAGATTAAATTCCGTCTCGTTCGATTATTTCTACGTTTTGATTTCTACATTTGACGTTGAATTATAGTTTGTTTGATCTCTGAAATCCATTTTAGAGAGGTGTGTCATGGAAAGCTGTTGTCAGGCTCTAAGTTATTTCCAACGCGTATTGTTTTGTATATTATGTGATTAAGTGAAGAATGTAGCATACAAAGTATGTAATGATGTTCGAGCCAACCTCATTGCCAACAATTCCGAGAGAGAATTGAATTTGACGCAATAAATCAGTCTATGTCGCGGCGTTGTCGCTGTGGAATTAAGTCGTCCGACGTGTTTTATTAGTCATATTAACCCTCCCCTCCCTCCCCCTTTTTTTCAAATTATTCTAGAAAAATGGAATATCGCATCTCGTATAATTGGCCGGAGAAAGTAACTTGTTCAACGAAATCTCCGACTAAACTTTAAAATTCCACGAAGGTAAGAGACAAGATCAGGAGAAAATCTAACGTTATTAGCCTCGTATCAGAACTTTTCTCCGCCTGTCCCTTTTACCAAGAAAAATGGAACATTATCTTTGTAATTACTCGGAGAAAGCAACTTATTCGACCGTTTAACGAAATCTCGAAATAAGATTTAAAACTTTGTAAAAAAAAGTTCTTTTCTCTGGACAAAAAAAATCTATTAATCGTATTATATCGAAAGAAGGAGAGAGATGTAACCCGTTACATAATCAGAATTTTTCCCTCTATTCCTTATTACTTCTAAATTACTTAAAAAAAAAAAAAAAAAATCTATTATCCACTGTTCAACGAAATCTCAAAAATAAGATTTAAAACTCCTTGAACAAATATCAAATTAAAAATTAAAACGGAAAGAAAATCCAAACGAAACTGTTTGTCTCGAACTTTGCTTCATCCAGAGAAAGAAAGCATCCCCCCAACTTTCCTTAACGATCCAACAGATTTAAAAACTTTGGTCGAGAAACTGGGAATAAAAAAAAGAAAAGAAAAGAAAAGAAAAACTCCGAAAAGTATCCGTTTGCGTTCATCAATACCGTTGATTGTCGACGCTCGAATCGCGAATCTCTTGAACGTAGATTCACGATTAACCGCAGCGGTTTAACCAGAGAAACTCGCCTCTTCCACGAGATGAACTCGAGATTTCGCGAATTGGAAAGTACTCGTGATTCGGGTGATATGAGCGACGGTAGCGCCGCCACTTTGCCCGTAATTGGACCAAATTCCACGAGTTCCACGCCCGCTTGTCGCTTAGGTGGATTCGCCATCTCCACGATCCGTTTCGTCCAAACGGATGTTTTGCTCGCGATTGTTACTCGCGTTTAATTACTTGGAAAGATCCGCTTCGCGAGAAAATCGCACGGTGCATGTGTCCAAGTCGAGCCGGTTCTAGATATCCCTAGGGACTTTTGATTTAGCGCGGTGACACAAGACTGATTGGGCTTGGCGGTTAGAAAAGACCGGCTTATAGAGAGGATGAAAATAAATGGGCGTTCAATAGTGCGACAGTTGGGTTTTTCCTACGTGTTGGTGGAATTAAAATTAGAAGATTTCGTGTTCGGCCCGGAATTTCGAATATTTCTCGTATTCGTCTGAAATTGGAGGTTTTTTGTCCTCTCTTTCTATATATATATATATATCTCGGCGGATGTTTAATATTTAAGTAGGCGATCTTTCGCCTAGGATAATGTATACATATATATTACACGTCTGATGTTCGTCGAAATTCGAATTTCTGGTTGGTTTTTAGGAACTTTTGTAGCTGGTTCGATCTTACGAAATATAGTTTGTCGGAATTCGGAAGATTTTGATACACTTGCGTTTGTTGCGCAAACTGCTTTTACTTCAAAATGTGTTACAATGAGGATGAGAAGCAAAAGCCTCCGTTGTTAGCATGGTTGAAACGCAAAATGTGAACGGATAAGCGGTTCCTGTTGAGATCACAGGCCACTGCGGTATTTCAGATGGGACTGAGAGGAGATTGTGGCCATTCACTGCAAATGTTAATTATGGGAATGGAGTTAATATTGGATATCAGGACGACGATATTAATCCTTGAAAGTTCCAAGGTGTCGAGGGCCCCGACAATTTTATATTTGCATCCGGCGGTTTATTAAAAAAAAAAAAAATCGGTTCGAGCTTACGATCAATGGAATTTCAATTTTTATAATTGAAAGCGGGGAGAAAGTTGAAAGCTAGCGATCACAGATAACCGTGACATTTGAAATCATCATTGAAAATCGTTGAAACAATTAATCTTGAGATTAAAATTGTCATCGGTGAAATCTCGTTAATCTTCCCCTCAAAATTTTCGAAATCCCTTTTAATCCAGAATTAACGAGCTACTCTAACTATTCCTCCTTTGAACTTAAATCGTTCGCTTTCGAGGATTTCCTTCCACGATTATCGTAATTGAAACAGAATCGTCGAGACGTTAAACCCTATTAATAATCGTAAGTCGGGAACATCGAGTCTGAAAACTTCCTCGAGTTTTTTTTAAGAAAATGGTGTAATTGGGTCGCGCTTATAATCTCTCTTCGAGACAGATCTTTCTCCAACTCGAAAGAATATAATCGTAAAGGAAGTTGGCTGAAAATTTATTATTAGGAAACTTCGAATAATTCCAATAATTTCGATAACACCAACGACACCAACTCTCCAACTCTCGGCCAACGTTAAAATTCCTCCGGTATACTCGATCCTCTCGAGTATTCTAATTTCCCTATTCTAAAGATAAAGACTGGATAAACGCAATTAAAACCACGGAGTGGCAAACAGAAATCGAGAACGGGTACGAATTTGGTAAAAAAAATCTCTAAGAAAAAGTCGTCCAACTCCGATCCAATTCTCTCTCCCCAATCATCATCCCGCCCCTCCTAACTCCGCCATTTTTTCTGCTCTGAATCTTTCGATTGTTCCGAATTCCGTGGTAATTGCTACATTGGCGCGGTCTGCGAATGCAAAACGGGGAGAAACCGCGTTTACGATCTCTAACCATCGTTTTAACCATCGGTGTTCGAAACCGGCGGCGTGTGAAAAATTGCGTGCAACATCGGTTCCGATCCGTTCGAAAATTTCGAATCGGGTAAAATAAAATAATTCGTGGAACGATATCGAATCGGCCCGATAATCATCGAGACTGGGAGGAGGGGATCGCCAATTTGCGACGCGAGATAAATTGCCACACTAGAGTAATTGCGATTTAAAGCGGAAAAATATCCGAGTCCCTCCTAACGAGTGCCTTTATCGTCACAATGGATCGCGGACACGTCGATACGAGGCATGGCGCATCTCTTTTCAAAGCGCGCTACACTTCCGGCGGACCTTGGTGTGGTATTTCTGTGTTCACTTCGACCGTATTTGCGTGACCCGTGTGTCTGATGATTGCGTGAATTGCGTTTGCCTCGTTGCATGTATAATACGCTGGTATTATGAATCGTTGCGATGGGCGAAAATGATTCGATCGTGTCGAATCGTGGGCCACCATTTTGGAACCGTTCCTCTCGTTCCTCTCGATCTTCTCGCGAATCGAGAGTTGGAAAGATGGAAATACGCGTGGAAAAATTTGGGAAAATTGTCAATTTGCTAGGGCATTCGAGGATCGAACCTGTTTGCGTTATTATTGGAAATTTGAAGAAAGCAAGGAATAAATTAATTTATCCAGTTTTATATTTGTTTGTAGAAATAAACGTAGTACAAATATTTCTTTTTCTATCTTGTACGCGTGAAAATGTTTCTCGGAATGTACGCGAGAAATAGGAAGGAATAAGAAGGATAATATAAATCTTTTAGAAAGTTAAAAAGAGGGAGAAAAAATAAAAAAAGAAAAGAAGGAAAAATTCGTTGAAATCACGTCCAACTTAAATCGAACTAGATTATTTAACTAATTTCCTCGCGAACAGCTTTCCAGAATCTAAACGATCCCGGGCAAACTTTGATCAACGTGCTTAAACTGGTTTCTACCTTACGATTTCTCTTTGTAAAGTAGAAATCCAACGTCAACAAAATAATTAAACGAAAAGAAACATCCAAGACGTTCTAAAAAAAAAAAAAGTACAAAAATATTCAATCGGGCAAAAATCATTCCAACGTGTTCTCAATTTTCTTCGTCGAAAAAAATTTTCTTAAAATTCTCCAAAAGAAATACAAAAAGAAAAAAAAAATTTAATCAAGCAACAGCCATATCCGCTGTACAAATTTCCTCGTGAAACGATTTTCTTCAAATTTTCCAACACTCGGATTTCTCAACATGGTTCGATCCACGTTTCCGTGTATGACATCGCGCATACATGTGAACTTTATCGAGGGATGCGTTTTACGGAAACCTTCCAAGCTCGCATCCGGACTACGTTTTTATCCAATTAGAGTCTTCTCGATACGGCGGCGTGCGCGCAGAGAAGTTGCACAGAGGTGTTAAGAAAATGGAAGAGAAAAAAAAAAGGGGGGAGGAAGAAAAAGGCCGATGGATACGTCGCAAAATTAGGAGGAATTCCATCGTTTCTAAAGAAAACAAAACGGAGATTGTTGAAGAAAAAGAGGAACGATTCCGGTCCACGATGATTTGTTTCGTGTACGCACGTACACGCAGCCTCTGCGCTACGTGATGTCGATGATTAAAAAAATGCTCGAGAACGCGCGTTCTCGCGACGAACGAACATAAAGGAGAGAGAGAGAAAAAAAAATATAGATAAATAAATGAGAAAAAACGGAGAGATAGAAAAGGGTAAAGAAATTAAGGGAGGAACTCACCCAGCGTTGGCGTCGTGTAATCCCAGCTTTCTGCGTCGTTCTTGTATACGTTCAGTTTGGTGGGCTGGAAAAGAAGAGAGCGAATCGAGATAAGCGTTAAATTAAGGAGAAATTCGTTCATGTGAATTATTATTCTTTAATTCTTATATCATCTTTAAGATTATTAAGTTTTTCATACCAAAAGATTTTTATATTCGATTGAATTGTTGTTTTAAATATTGCGTTATTGATAGATATTTTTGCATTTATTTTATTAACAGAGAATTGTTGAAATCAAATTAAGAACGACGTGAAAAGTTATTTTGGATATAAATTACGTAATTATAAAATAGATAATTTTTAATTAATAATCTTTGATTAAAAAGTATTATTATTTGAATTATATTGAATGCTTGTACATAGAATTAATTCCGAATTATATTATTACATGGGAACGGAGCAGAATATTGTGTTTTATAAGGAAATAATATTTTGATATTCTTGGATAATATTAACCAAACATAATGATGAAACAATATAAGATATTATTCCATAATTGCGCAGAAAGAGAGGATTTAACGAGAAAAGAAAACTTTCAATTTATGCAGAGTAATGAATCACGGTAGAATCCGTAGACAGACTTCGCCTCGGTAATTAAGGATTAAATCTTACACGACGATTGAATGGATTCGCCTCTTTACATGCTCGATTTCCCAGTTTCTGAAAAATTTATCCCAAACCCTTTCCACATCCACATCCAAATCTTCGCGTTACGTGAAATTGCAAATCGTTAAAAAATTATTAACATTTCTTAAAAAAATCAAATTTAACTTATAACAATTTTAAGGAATATTCGGCAAACGTGAATTATCGTCAATCGCCGACAAACGGAATCTAACGGCTCTAACAAGTCGAGTTCTCGTAATTTCAACTCGGACACCCGGTTGAAATTTAACACATTCCGTGCATTCGCCGATCGTGAACCGAATTATTAATATGGGAATTTAACGCGGGCCGGCCCCCCTCCTCCGTCCCATAAATCCTCGATTAGCTATGCATACGCCGTTGCAAAATGAATTATACAAATATACAGGCGTATAAGGTGGAAAGAGAAGGGGAAAGACGAAATGTCGTTCGAGCTCATTTCAATCTCGACCTCCGAGAGCGCGCGTTCGCGACGTTCCTTCTCCCGTTCGATTATTGTTATTAAATGTCGATCGATGTATTACGACATATTTTTGGCACATTTTCGAGCTTCCCTCGCTTCGATCGATCGATGCAACTCCACTTTCGTTGCGAAAAGTTTCCTCCCCCCCTCCCAATCTTTTGTCCAGTCTTCGCGGATCCTCTTCGCACAGCCTCTCGACTCGAAGAAGGGAAAAAGCACCCCTTTGTTCGCTAGGGAAAAATTTAATTCCTTTCCTACCACCGCGAAGCTTCGTTGAATAAAATCTCCACGGGATTCGTCGCGTGTCCCTTTCCTTCCTTTTCTCTTTTTTTATTTTCCTTGATCGATTAAGCCAACTGTGAAACTCGAAAATTTTTAGATGATTGTTTGGTAGTGTGTATTATATCCCGTTTCTTTGTTTCTTACCATTTCGAAAATTTTTTTGTCAATTTTATTTCGAGAAGAAAGGAAAAAAGATCTCCCCTCGAATCTTTTTTATTCAATTTGAGAAAGATTAGCTGCTTTCGAAGAAAAGAAAGCTTCGAGCTTTATTTTTAAATTCACGAAATTTATATATATATATAAGATATAAATATCCCCATCGAAAAAATACGTAAGCGTAAATATGGAAGAGCTCCACGATTCCTCCGTTCGTTAAACTCGTCGAATTACATCCAATCGTAAATTTCGAAATTTCTTCCCTCCGGTTTTCAACGATCGTAAAAAACGTCGCTGCTCAACAAATGCCCCGGTTCTTATTTCTCATAAGAATAATTCCATCACGGGTGACCACCACGATGGTGGAAGAGGAAAATAGCGTGCATTTATCAAGAGGTGGCACGAGAGAACGAGGTCGAAGGAGGGACAACAAGCGTGATAAACCGTATTTCCTCCGAATAGGGATGCTTGTTAGAACGAAACAAATCTGGCGGAAAGGGAAACGGTTTCACCGCCACTTCGTCTCGTCCGATTCCAGCCAATAAAATCTTCGAGAACGGTTAAGATTAATCGAACGATAAATTCTCGAAAGGATATTCCTTCTTTTGATATCTTCGGCTTGGGAACAATGTGGAATTCGACGTGGAATGAAACTAGGGAGACTAACTTGCATCCTCTCTGCATCCTCCTGTTAAACTCGATCCGCTTTTAAGCAGCTCGGTTTTCGAACGTTTCTTTCCTCTAGAGAGGATCCGAGAGGCAGATAAAAATCGTGGCGTCGCGCTTCGAGTTCAACAACTCGCGCCTTGCTTTCCGTGAATCCGAAAGAACGATATTCTCTCCCTCGCGGATAAATGTCGTACAGATTCGTAAATTTCGAACGAGATTTATAAGATTTATAAGAAAGAGATTATAAGCTGCTTCTTCTTCTTCTTCTTTTTCTTGTTCGAATATTTCGATCGAAAGCGGGATTTTACGAGACGAAGTTTGAAAAAGATCGAAGAAGGAATATTTTTTTCCCCGCGTTTATACGCGAAAATATCGTGGAAAATTTCGTGGAACGATAACTTTTAATTTCAGGGATACGATAGCAGATACAACGTTTGATACGCGATACAAAAGCTAACGGTAGCTATCCCCCGGGAGGGGATAACGTGGATAATATACATTCGATCCAGATCTAAATATTTATTCTGATACCGGATGATTTCACGAGTGACAATGCCCGATGGTAAAAATTCTCTCGAAAAAAAGAGAGCGATATTCTGCGCAGGATTTATCTTGCGCAACTTGTTCTATTTATTTGAAAGGGGGGGGAAGAGAGAGAAAGAGAGAAAGAGAGAAGGGGAAAAAATCGCGTATTGCCCGACCAAAAATATACACGCCGAATGAAAATACAATGGAAACAACGTATCGACGAAATAAAAATACCTGCGATTAAACGATGTACAACGATGCGCCAGCCTCTTATGTAAAGGATTTTATTGACGTCGAATTTTATATTCCTTGGATCAAGCATGTGTTCCCGCAAATAAAAATTCCCGCAAAGAGATTCGTTCGAGTGGACGAACT